AAAAAAAAAAAAAAAAACACTCACGCACAGTGACTCCTGCCTATAATCCTAGCACTTTGGGAGGCTGAAGCGAGCAGATTACTTGAGGTCAGGAGTTCCAGACCATCTTGGCCAACATGATGAAAGCTCATCTCTACTAACATACAAAGCAAAAAATTAGCTGGGTGTGGTGGTGTGCTCCTGTAGTCCCAGCTACTGGGGAGGCTGAGGCAGAAGAATTGCTTGAACCCAGGAGGCGGAGGTTGCAGTGAGCCGAGGTGGCGCTGCTGCACTCCTGGGTGCAGAGCAAGACTCTGTCTCACACACACACAAAACAAGAAAAAAGTCAGCCATGCAAACAGCTGGAAGCAGGATCAGCAACATAATTTGTGGGGCCCAGTGCAAAAGGGCATCTTGTTCAAAAATTATTAAAAGGTTAAAGACAGTGGCCAGGTGTGGTGGCATGTGCCTGTAGATCTAGTTACTTGGGAGGCTAAAGCAGAAGGATTGCTTGAGCCCAGGAGTTTGAGGCTACCTACAGTGAGTTATTGTACCACTGCATTTCTGCCTGGGCAATAGAGTGAGACCCTGTCTCTAAAAGTAAGTTGTGTTTTGTTTGTTTTCTTTTGTTTTGACATGGAGTCCAGCCTGGCCAACATAGTGAAACCCCATTTCTACTAAAAATACAAAAATAAGCGGGGCGTGGTGGCACATGCTTGTAATCCCAGCTACTCAGGAGGCTGAGGCTGGAGAATTCGGGAGGAGGAGGTTACAGTGAGCCAAGTTTGCACCATAGCACTCCGGCCTGGTGCAGAGTGAGACTCCATCTCAAAAAATAAAATAAAAAAATAAATATTTGTTTTTGTTTTGTTTTTTTGAGATGGAGTTTTGTTCTTGTTGCCCAGGCTGGAGTGCAATGGCGTAATCTTGGCTCACCGAAACCTCTGCCTTCCGGGTTCAAGGGATTCTCTTGCCTCAGCCTCCCAAGTAGCTGGGATTACAGGCCTGCCCCACTACACCCAGCTGATTTTTTTGTATTTTTAGTAGAGACAGGGTTTCTCCATGTTGGTCAGGCTGGTCTTGAACTCGCAATGTCAGGTGATCCACCCGCCTCGGCCACCCAAAGTGCTGGGATTATAGGTGTGAGCCACTGTGCCTGGCTTTTTTTTTTTTTTTTTTTTTTTAAGATTGTAATTGACTCCGACATTCATAACTCCCCAAATGAAGTCTAACGGAAGCAATGTATAGCAATCCTCTGGCATTGTTTTTTTTTTTTTTTTTTTTTTTAAACAAAAAGTTTAAGACAAGGACAGCATGAAGCCAGGTGCAGGGCCTCTGTGGGACTGCACAGGTCACCTGCTCATGAAGCCAGCTCTGTTTGAAAGTTAGGTTTTCTGAGAGGAGGGAAGAGCAGGTGCCATTTGGGCTTCTGATCAAGCACATGCATCAAGATCCATCTTCTATCCCAGTTTTCTCCTTCCCCTACTTTACTCATTTGGATAGTATTTATGGAACTCCTACTCAGTGCCAGGTATTATTCTAGGCATTGAAATTACAGACTGAAACCCACAGGCAAAATTTCTGCTGTCACCATGAGTTTACTTGGGGAAGGCTGGGGGACAGACAGTAGACAGGTAACTTTGTAAACAAATGGTTGCAAAAGGGTGAGGGGCTAAGAGTGACCAAGTTAACTGAGTGTGGGAAGGTTGGCTTCACGCTGGGTAGAGAGGGAAGGGTTCCATCTCCAGGGACAGGCTGTCTGATCCATCCTTCTTCCTCCTCTCTCTCTTTAGACCTCTGGTGCCCCAGGGAGTCCCCAAACACCCCCTGAGCCTCATGACTCTGGTGGTTCCCTGCCCCTGACACCCCGGGTAGAGAGCCACTCAGAGGATGAAGATCTTGCTGGGGCTGTTGGAGGCCTGGGCTGGAACAGTAGGAGTCCCTGGACCCGGAGCTCAGAGGGCTGCTCAGCAGAGGCCGTACTGGCCCGGAAGAAACACCGTCGGCGGCCGTCGAAGCGCAGACGGCACTGGCGGCCCTACCTGGAGCTGAGCTGGGCTGAGAAACAACAGCGGGATGAGAGGCAGAGCCAGAGGGCGTCCCGGGTCCGAGAACAGATGTTCGCCAAAGGCCAGCCCGTGGCCCCCTACAACACCACCCAGTTCCTGATGAATGACCGAGATCCAGAAGAGCCCAACTTGGATGTGCCCCCTGGGGTCTCCCACCCAGGTTCCAGTGGGGAGAGTGAGGCTGGGGACAGTGACGGGCGGGGCCGAGCGCACGGTGAGTTCCAGCAGAGGGACTTCTCTGAGGCTTACGAGCGCTTCCGCACCGAGAGCCTGCATGGCCGCAGCAAGCAAGAGCTGGTGCGAGACTACCTGGAGCTGGAGAAGCGGCTGTCGCAGGCCGAGGAGGAGACCAGGAGGCTGCAGCAGCTGCAGGCATGCACAGGCCAGCAGTCCTGCCGCCAGGTGGAGGAGCTGGCCGCTGAGGTCGAGAGGCTCCGGACCGAGAACCAGAGGCTTCGGCAGGAGAACCAGATGTGGAACCGAGAGGGCTGCTGCTGTGACGAGGAGCCGGGTACTTAGGGGTGCCCTCAAGCCTGGTGGACACAAGGAGAAGGTCTTATTTCATGCACACTCAGGTCAGCTGGGTCTCAAGGAGGCAGGTGGCAGATGAAAACCACCCTCAACACCCTGTGCCCCCTGAGAACAGCTAAATCGATTCAGACTCCCACCTCACCATTTTCACAGTTGGTTCTTCCATGTCAGCTTACTTTTACAGAGAAATTAAATGGTCTTGGTGGGACCAAATGGCGAGTGTCTAGGATTGATTTCACTTGGGCTGTTCTGAGAAACAAAACATTTGCCCCATAGAGGTCTGAGTGGAGCCCCAGTCCCCACTGCCCCAAGCCTGGCGTGCCAAGGTCTCCAGGTTACCTGAATCCTGCTCTGTGGGTGTTGGAGCAATCAGGCTGCATGGAAGGTTTTCTAGGTGGGAGGGAGCTCAGTCAGGAGCCCCCAGTTTCAGCCAGATCACTGTGAGGAGCTGCGAGCTTTCCCTGGAGGAGAGAGAGCGGGGGCTTTTGGAGAAGGGCCAGGCCCAGGGGTTCCTTGAGAGTTTGCTTCTGAGCTCCCTGTATTCTCCTCCTCGAAGTTTAAACGCTGGACTGGGCGGGATCTGGGTGCCTTGTGTCTCTTTGTTCTTGACACCCCCAAACCCCGACCCCTCTCTGCAGGGGGTTGGGCCTGAGGTTAGTCATCACATGTTTGTGTTTGTCTCCTTACCTCCTGAGGGTACTAAGGGAGATGCTCTCCTGGTAGAAAATAAAGTCAAGAGGCAGAGGGGGGCAGCGCATGGATCCCCTTATAGCAGAGCAGCCTGGCTCTCTTGGTGCCTGCCATGCATCTGTGCGTCCTGCTCCTCTCCGCCTCACCACGTGGGTGTGAATTCCCTGTGAAGTGTGTGAGGCCCTAGCCTGTCTGTACATCAGAGAGAGCTGGGTCAGCCTGAGTAACACAGATACCACCAGCCAGCCTCTGGCTCTGAGAATGAGCTCACCCACCCCTTCACACTCAGGCCCACCCTTCCCCAGACACCCTGTCTCTTCCATCCCCTCCTGGTACCCTTGCAGGCCGGCGTTGGGTGTCAGGCAGCAATGAACAGGGATAACCAGTGGTGGTGGAGGAAATTAGTCAACTCACCAGTGAGCTAGTGCTGGCTCTGCCACCAGGCAAGGGGAGGGGCAGAGGCCTGGCTGCCCAGCCTAGCTTCCCTTCCAGGCCCTCATCTCGACAGGCCGCATTGGGCAAGACAAGACTCGGCCCAAGGATGGAAATGTTGATGAAATCCTGTGTGTTGCCAGGACAACTTTCGTTTCTGCCCTGCCACACCCAGGCCTGGCCGGAGCCTTCTACAATGAAACACAGAACAGATTCTAGGAATGCATGGGTTTCAAGAGAAAGCAAAATCCCATCCTGGGGTACCTGCCCCCTAGAAGCCTGGATCCTCTGACAGCTCAGTCAGGAAGGGCAGCAGGAATCATCATCCCCACTTTGCAGATGGGAAACCAGAGGCTTAGCGAGGAAGTGGCTTTTTGGATTCCAGAAGAGCCTTTGGAGGCCTGCCTGCCCCTGTGAGGTGCAGTGGGGTGCTAGCCTGGGACCCAGAGGCCCCTTGGCCTTTGCTGGCAGCCTCCCAGGTGCATTCCTAAGCATGGAGCCCGAGGGAGAGAGGAGGCCCAGGACAAAGGTGGACAAAGGTTGTTTAACCGGAGGTGCCTCGTGTGTGTGTGTGTGTGTGTGTGTGTGTGTGTGTGTGTGTGTGTCTAGGAGGTAAGAGTAGACTCCAGAGGGCTGCTGGAATGTAGGGGGAGGGGTGTGGGTGAGGGTGCTGGGGGCGCATTGCCAGTAGGGCAGGTCAAGAGTTTGGCCCTTCTTGGCCCAGAAGCTGAGGAGTCTGGAGGCAGGAAAGCTGCCAGCTGCTTCCCCAACATCCCCCTTACACATAAAAGGCTGAAGGGTGCAAATAGAGCAGCACCTCGGTGGGTTAATTTTCCCCCAGGCTGTAGGTCGGGTGGGGCAAGAAGAGAACAAAGGAGAAGATGTGAGCCGGGAGTGTGGGAGGGCCTGAACCCAAATGGGAGGGGTGCATGAAGAGGGTCCCTATCTGCACCTCCCACCCAACCCGCCTGGCTCCCTGACTCCTGGGTAAGGGGTGTGCAGGGAGGAGATCGTCCTGGGGCCAGAGCTGGGGGTCAGCACTGGAGAGAATGGGCTCAGCTGTGGGTGGGAGCCAGGCCTGGGTCCCTCAGTGCCCCGCCCCTTTTGCTTCCAGTTGTTCCCACACCTGCTGCTTGGTCTTGAAGCCTGGGCCTCTACTCCGCCCACTGCAATGGTGGAGGCTCCAGTTTACAAGACACCCCCACCCCCACATCACATGCCCTTAGCTAGGGAAGTTGGGCCTCGACATAGCCTCCCTGGGCCTTTCCAGAGCTGCCCTCATGCCCTGTGCTTTCTGGGTCCCTCTTAGTCTCCTGAGCCAGGGGAGGGAAGTGCAGAGAACACATGTTTCACAGGAGCGGCTGTTGAAACCTCCCACCATTCCTGCCCAGCCTGGTTTAGGATCCCTCTTTCCTCCCTGGCAGGAACTCCCCGACCCCAGTTGCAAATTCCTGTGCCCCGTGTACACACCCTGCCTGCAATGGGGTCAGGGAATGAGGGAGAGGGGTGGGCAGAGGTTGGTGGGGTGGGGCAGGAGGAAGCTTCCAGAGAGGGAAGTAACAGTATTGGGGGAAAGGTGGTCAGGTCCCATTGCCCTGTTGGGAACAGGCAAGTGTGGCACTGGCCCTTTAAGTGGGGGTGCCAGCCAGTGCTCTCCCCCAACCAACCCAATTCATGGGCACACTGAGCATGTGCAGGGGCTGTGCATGTGGGGAGGAGGGGGAGAGGGGGGCATACATTCCGGAGGGAGCTTTGCATCCCCCTACTTCCGGTAGCTGCCCCCACTCTCCTTCCTGGGTCTGACAAAGGAGCCCATGGTGCTCACCCATTCCCTTCCCCCACCCCATGCCACAGGGGGTGCTGCCCTCTGCAACTGCTGAAGCTGCCATGGGTGCTGGGCAGGCCCCCTCTGCCCTGGGGAGTCTCCTGGCTGCCTGGAGGTGGCACACACAGAGCCCAGTGCCAGCCTCACTTCCCTGGTGTGGGCGGTGGCGGCGAATCTTCCTGCTGCCTACGTGTTCCATTTCATTCCATTGGTGCCAGGGTTTTTAAAAGAACCATCCACCTGTGATGTCACTCTGAAAGTGAAACAGCTCAAAGGATGTGGCCCTGCCCCCCAACCAGGACCTTCCAGTCCCAGAGGAGGCTAACAGCCCAGTGGCTGCAAGGGCCTTCCCTGAGTCCCGCTCCTTCTGCTTCTCCCCTGCAGGCCAAGGGATCGAAGTCAGCTTCCTCCGGACTACCTTCACCTGCAGCTGGGACCCTTCCTCAAACCCTTCCACCACCTCAACCTTACCTGTTTCTGCCAAGTCTTCCCCTCTCCCTGCCCTCAGCCCCTCCTGTTATCTCCCCTACCCCTCTAGCACTT